GAATGGTTATGTATAAAGGTGAACAGTTATAATGTTTAAAAATGTCCTGTGGGTAGTATTCATGCAGTATGGGAGAGCAATAAAATAATAAATGTCAAAAAGACTGTCCACTTAGATAGATAACTGCATGCTATTGGTCGCCCACCTCATTACGAATGCCTACATTAGACAGCTAGTAGTTATTAAGAATTCTACATTTTGTCTGAAATTTGTTGTTTAGAATGGAGGTTTGTGTGTGTGAAGAGTGCATGTCTTAATTCAATAGTTTGACAGGATCAATAGAGCACAAAAATGGCTGGCAGTCAGTTAATTGAGAAGAATATTCACAACATGTCTTTTGAATGAAATGTTATGCATCAGCAGTCCACCGAGTAAAAACAACTTTACTTGAACAAAAATGTCTGAGAAATGATTACAGATAAATATGAATAATTTTGCATTAAATTGGTTGGTTGGCCAATTGAATGGATTCACAAAAATATACTGGTACTGATGTATGTATTGGTATAATATTATGTATTAAGAATAAACAAAAACAGTCATTGCATTCAAGAGAAACTGGCATAGATACTACAAAATCAAAGAAAGCTTAGAAAGAACTCCTGTATATTAGAGGCATGAAGTTAGCACATGTGCTTCTATTAGAGCAAATATACCTGCATGCAATGATCTGGGGGGTTCGGGTAGCTATGGTTTAACAATTATAAATATTTAATAACATCTATGTACCAAGTTTCATTGTAGTGTGATGATCAGTACTTGAGATATCAGTGAAAAAGCCGAAAATTTACTAATCATTATGCAAATAAGGTAATTATATGTACATACTTTTTATTATTATTATTATTCTTTATTCCGCACTATATGGCCACCGGCCTAAAGTACTGTTATATTTCAAAGCTAAAATTACACACAGTCGCTTTAAAATTACAAGATACTATACTTCAAATTATACTTCCATTTCAGTTTCTCTGTAATGAAAACTCTTAAACAAATATTTACCCAAACCTAATAATATATACGGGTTAGTACTATGTAGCAATGCAATGCAATGAATTTCATCTTGGTTGGTGGTGAAAAATAATAAATAATAATGTACATACTTTCAACCAAAACTAATAAAGTCTGTGAATAGTCATAGAGCATATATATACCAAGTTTCATTGAAATGTAATGATTATTACTTGAAATATCAGCAGAAAGACCAAAACATTAAACAAATTATGTAATTTATATGCATGGATATTAACCCAAAACTCATCAGATCTCTGCATTGTCTTATGACATCTGTGTACCAAGTTTCATAGTCATGTGGGGAATAGTACGGTACTCATGATATCAGTGATAAAGTTGAAAATTGACAAATCATTATGCAAATTAGGTAAATAATATGCAAGGGATTTTTACCCAAAACTAATTAAGTCTGCGCATTCTCCCAGAGCACCTATGTACCAAGTTTCATCAAAATCCAATGAGTGAGTCTTTAGATATCAGTGGAACATTCATAGAACAGCTAATTATCATGCAAAATAGATAATTAATAAGCACAGATTCTAACCAAAACCTAATGAAATCTGCACATTAGCCCAGAGCATCTATGTACCAAGTTTCATCAAAAACCAACATAAGGTTCTTTAAATATCAGTGGAACAGAT